TCTTTATAGTTCTAGATGTTATATTTAGGTCTTTAATTCCCATTGACTTTTTTTGTATAGGGTATAAGATATGGGTTTTATTTCATTCTTCTAAAAATGGATTTCCAGTTTTGCCTGCACCATTTGTTAAAGAGACTGCCTCTTTCCCATTTAATGTGGAATCTGGATTGGGATTGTGTTATATCTATAGACTGCTTTGGGTAGTGTTGACATTTTCATAATGGTAAGTCTTCTTATCCATGAGCATGGTATATTCTTCCATTTTTTGTAGGTCTCTTTTAGTTTCTTGTAGCAGTGTTCTGTAGTTTTTGTAGTTTTCTTTGTATATATCTTTCCTTTAGCTGGTTAGATTTACTCCTAAGTATTTCATCTTTTGGGTGACTATTGTAAATGGTATTGTTTTCCTGATTTCTTTTTCAGAGCTCTATTAGTGTAAAGGAATGTAGCTGATTTTTGTATATTGGTTTTGTACTGCCACTTTGCTGAATCTTTCAATGATTTTCTTGCTAGGTCTTTGGGATTTTTTTTAATGTACAGGATCATATCATCTGTAAAAAGAATTTTACTTCTTCTTTACCAGTTTGGATGCTTTTAATTTCCTTTTCTTGCCTTATAGCTCTGGCTAAGATTTCCAACACAATACTGAATAGGAGTAGTGCTGAAGAGCACTTTTGTCTGGTTCCTGTTCACAAAGGGAATTCTTTCAGTTTCTCTCCATTCAGAGTAATGCTAGCTGTTGGATTTATATATACGCTTTTAATTATGTTGAGGAATTTACCTTCTATTTCTACTCTGTTGAGTGTTTTTATCAGGATGTTGGAGTTTTTTAAATGCCTTTTCTGTATCAATCAATAGAATTATGTGGGTTTTTTCCTTTTATTTATATGGTGGATTGCATTGATTTTTTTTTTTTAATATCGAACCATTCTTGCGCTCTTGGCATGAATGCCATTAGGTCATGATGTATTATTATTTTATTGATATGTTTGTTGAATTCTGTTGGCTAGAATTTTGTTGAGAGTTTTTGCATCTATGTTTGTGAGGGATATTGGTCTATAATTTTCTTTTTTAGTAATGTCTTTGCCTGGTTTTGGTATTAGGGTAATGATCATTTGCTAAAATTTCCATCTTTTTCTATGTTCTGGAATAGTTTGAGTACAGTTGTTGTCAGGTCGTCTCTGAATGTTTGGTAAATTCACCAGTAAAGTAATCTGGACCTGGGCTTCTTTTGTTGTTTTTGAGATTTTTTTTTTTTTTTTTAATTACCTGGTTAATTTCTTCTTTTATTATAGGTCTGTTCAAAGATTCTACTTCATTCTGCATTAGTTTAGGTAGGTTGTGTTTTCTAAAACTATATCCATCTCTTCTAGATTTTCAAGTTTATTGGAGTACAATTTTTCATAGTATTTTTTTTTTTTTTTCCTGTTGGTTCAATTGTGATGTCACTCATATCATTTCTGGGTATGGTGGTGATTGTGTGCCTCCAAGTAGTTTCCCACTCCTGTCAACTCTGTATAGGATTTCTGAAGCTGTAAATCTTTATAGGAGCAGAAGCTTCATCTTTCTTCTGCAGAGCAAATTTGAACTATAGACCTTGGAGTTAGCAACCCAGCTTATAATCTACTATGCTTTCAGGGCTCCTTAAATAATTTTTTTGTTTTTGTTGTTAGGTGCCACTGAGTTGATGCCGACTCATAGCGATCCTGTATAGAGTTTCTGAGGAGCAGCTAGTGAGCTTAAACCAGCAGTGCATTAACCCACAGTGCCATACCTGAATTCCACATATTTTTCTGTGCTGATTTCATTTCTTAGCACATTGTTATTTGCATCTTCTTCTTTTTCTCTTTTGTTAGATTTGCAAAAGGTTTATCAGTTTTACTAATCCTTTTTAAGAACCATTTTCTTCTCTTGTTGAGTCTTTCTATTGTTTTTCTGTTTTCTAACTCATTTATTTCTGCTCTACTCTTTATTTTTCATATGGTGATTATAGGTTTCTTTGCTGGTCTTTTTTTAATTTTTGAAAGTGTTGTATTAATTTTGGTTATTTCTTCCTTTTGGATGTGTGAGTTTATTGCAATTCATTGCCTACTAAGCAGTGCTTTTGCCATGTCCCAAAGGTTTTGGTATATTGGTTTTATTCTTATTGAATGATTTTTAAAATTCCATTTTTATTTATTCTATTACTCAATAGCTTTTAAGCAGGATAGTAGTCAATTTCCATTTATTTGATATTGTTTCCATTGGTCTTCTGATTGTTGATTTCTAAATTTATAGCCTTGTGATCTGAAAAGATCCTTTGTAGTATTTTGATGTTTTAAAATTTATTGAGGCTTACTTTGTGGCTTAAACATATGGTCTATTCTGGAGAATATTCCATGTATACTGGAAAAGAATGTGTATTGTGCTGTTGTTGAATTGTGTGCTCTATATAAATCTGTGAGGTCAAGTTAGTTGATTGTGTTGTTCTTCCTTGTCTTTGTGCAGTTTCTTTCTAGATGTTCTGTCCTTCATAGAATGTGGTGTATTAAAATCTCCTACTATTATTGAAGGAAGTACAGCCAGAATGCTCCTTGGAAGCCAGGATGGCATGCTTTCATCTCTCATACTTAAAACATATTATCAAGAGGGACTGGTCTTTGGAGAAGGGTGGCATGCTTGGTAAGGTGAAGGGTCATCAAAAAAAGAGGAAGACCCCAATGACATGGATTGGCACAGTGGCAACAGCAATGGGCTCAAGCATAACAACAATTTGTGAGAATGCCACAGAACTGGGCAGTGTTTGTTTCTTTTGTGCATAAGGTTACTATAAGTTGGAACTGACTTGATGACACTTAATAACAAAAACAGCTATTATTGTAGAGTTGTCCATTTCTTTCTTCAATTCTATTAGAGTTTGACTTATGTATTTTAAGGTTCTTTCATTGAGAGTATAGATATTTATTATGGTTATGTTCCCTTGTTTAATTAAATCATGAAATAATATCCTTTTGTGTATCTTATGCTGATTTTTGCCTTAAAGTCTATTTTATCAGAAATTAGTATTGCCACTCTTACTCATTTTTATTGCCATTACCTTGGCATAGTTTTTCCATCCTTTGATTTTAAATCTGTGTTTGTCTTTTTGTATTAAGTGTGTCTCTTGTCAACAGCATATTGAAGAATCCTGTTTTCTTATACATTTTGCTACTTTTTTGTCTCTTCACTGTTGTATTTAATCCATTTATGTTAATTATAATTATAAACAGGTATGAATTGATTGCAGTCATTTTGCTGTGAGGCTTTTTTTTGTGGTGCTCCTGGTTTCTTTTTTTCCACATAGTTTTCTATGCAGAATTCATTTTGTATGTGTGTTTTCTTCTCAATTTCTTCATTGCTGTTGGTTTAATGTTTACTTTGCATTCCCATTTCTTGATCTGATGTGAAGGTGTATTAAGTTTCTTAAGAGTACCCTGTCATTTATTAATTCTTCCCTATTTTAAAATAGTCTGTTTTATCTTGAAATCTGTTTGACTTCCTCATGATGTGGAAGGTCTGTAACTATATATATATATATTTAATGTTTTATTGTGAATTATATGATAGTTTACATGGGAGAACATAAGTTTTACATTAATCCTATTGTATATTGTCTCATTGCCATGGTTAAAATCCCCTCCATGCAGCATCAGCCAACCAAAGGGTATACCCTGCAAGCCTGCCCCTTACACTATCCCCCTCCCCCAGTCTTCAGCACACAGTTGCTCTCCCTCTCAGGAATCTAAAGTCCCCAGCTGCTCCATCACTTCATATCATCATCTCTGCCTCCATCTCAGACATCACTGCTTCTCTGGGTAGGTCCTGCTCTCAGCTCTTCTCCGTTGATGGTCTTAGGGACCTCCGCTCCTATGTAACTATACTTTTAACTCCTTTTACTTTGTAATTGTCTTCTATATAAATTGAAGTCTCTGATTTCCTATTTTCAGTTTTGTACATTGGTTTTCACTTTGACTCCATAACATAAGCAATGGGTCAGTGGTTTGAGCCCACCAGCCACTCCATGGGAGAAAGATGAGGCTCTTTACTCCCATGAAGATTTAAAGACTTGGAAATCCTATCCATGGTTGCTATGAGTCGTATCAGATTCCATGACACATAACAACAACATCTATACTGAATTCTGGATGGTTGTCTGCTGTTATTGGTTCTGAGTATAAATGGCACTCCTTAGTAATTTTTGTAAAGTTGGTCTGTTTTTCTTACATTAATTTGATTTTGACTTATCTGGAAATGTTCTAATTTCACCACCTTATTTGAGGGACTATTTTACTGGGTATATTCTTGGTTGGTGATTTTGTCTTTCAGTTTTTAATGTCTCCCCATTGCTTTATTGCCTGCATAGTTTCTGTATAGGGTTTCCAAAGAGCAGCTGGTACGCTTGAAATTCAGACCCTGTGGTTCAAACTGATTTTGAACTGACTTCATGGCACATAACCACCAGAGAAGGAAACTATTATAATGTGATAAGGAGGTTTTCTCAGATTGGAACTAAGGACCTGGTCAGCTCTTGAAGGAAAAAGTAAGGGCTTGGCAAAGACAATTTCCCTATTTTACTTACCTTTCCAGAGGATGAGTGATTTTTTAAAGTATCTTAACCACCTTAGAGTTCTGCTAAGTAATTTTAAAATATTATAGTTATTAGTCTGAACTATTTCTAAAACAACAAATATCTAGGCATGTTTTTGTTCATCAAGTTTATTAAATAATTTTATTTACTAATCTACATACACATTATATTTACTGATTCAATATAATAATAAATAGTTTGGAGTAAAATAATTTAAAGTGAAACCATTTTGAGCCCCTAGGGCTTACAAGAAGAATCTTCAAAGATCCATATTCATCATCTGAAAACTAAGGATAATAGTTACAAAAGATAGCAAACCACTCATCCAAAAATAAATTATAAAAGTTAAATATTTAAATAAATAAAAATCCCAGTGCATTTTAAATGGGAGGCAGGATCAAGTCAGTGTGGCGAGGATGCTTTGACAGAAGGTAATCCATTTGTTCAGAAATCCTATAATATCTGCTTCTTTATCATCATATTCACACATGAATGTTGTTTCAGAGCCCTATAAAATAAAAATTTTCAATTTTTTAGTTCAGGTAGTTTATATATATTCTTAAGTGAAGTCTTATTTTGAAAAACATGTTAATCATTCACATTTTCTTAAACTGATCAAATGCTAGGTCAAAATTACATGCTACAATAGCAAATGATAGTAACATACAACCTGAAGTTTTCCTCATTTGCTAATTTCTCTGGTCAATCTCCATGAACGCAAGATATTTTTCTGAATTGTGTGCAAATAAGCATTTAAAATAAAAAGTTAATTATAGACAACTATTTTGTTCAATGCGCTATGCAAAACGAAGTAATTTGACCTCTTTTCCTCTGTGTATAATCTATATATCTCAATGTAGTCTATATGTAAGGAACCCTGGTATCATAGTAGATTACAGCTGGGCTGCTAGCACCAAGGTCAGCAGTTTGAATTTACCAGTTGCTCTGTGGAGAAAAGATGAGGCTTTCTGCTCCTATAGAGATTTACAGCCCCTGAAACCCTACACCTAGTTGCTGAGTCAGAACCGACCAGTCTATATGTATGCAGTGAAATGGCCATTATACTTATGGTGCTGTGGGTTAATGTGTTGGACTGCAAGGTCAGTTTGAACTACAAGGTCAGCGGTTCAGACTCACCAGCCAGTCCTCAGCATCCCTATACAGGGTCGCTATGAATCAGAACTGACTCAATGGCACTTAACAACAACAATAAATCTAAACTAGAGGGAAAGCCCTGGACTGCAAACCACAAGTCAACATTTCGAACCTACCAGTGTTTCTGTGGGAAAAAGATTGAAGATTTCTGCTCCTCTAAAAGCTTTATACCTCAGAAACCCCATACAGGGCCGCTATGAGTCAGAACCAACTTGAAGGCCCTTAGCAACAACAAGTGTTAATGTTGTTAGGTGCCGTGGAGTCAGTTCCGACTCATAGTGACCCTACACAAGGTTTCGGAGGCTGTAAATCTTTATGGGAGCAGACCGCATCATTTCGAACTGCTGACCTTGCAGCTCGCAGCCTGATTCGTAACACTACGCTACCAGGGCTCCTTTCCTATTATTTCTAATTTGTGGCTCTTTGTGTTAGGTAGGCATTGTGCTGCTAGCCACAGGGTTGGCGGTTTAAACCTACTAGTTCCTTTGTGGGAGAAAGGTGAGGCTGTCTGCTCCCATGAAGATTTGCAATCTCAGAAAGGCTGCGTAGTTACTGTGAGTTGGAATTCACTGGATGGCGGTGGGTTGGCAAAGGAGCTCTGGTAGCGTAGTGGTTACGAATCGGGCTGTGAACCTCAAGGTCAACAGTTCGAAACTACCAGCTGTTCCGCAGGAGAAAGATGAGGCTTTCTGCTCCCGTAAAGATTTACAGCCTCGGAAACCCCGTCCAGGGTCGCCATGAGTCGGAACCGACTCCACGGCACACAGCCACCACCACCACCACCATTCCTTAGAAACCCTTTGCAGGGTTGCTATGAGTCTGGCACTTAACAACAGCAACAATTCTACTGTAGCGAATCTCGGATTTTCCGAAAGCAGGATAGTGCCTTCCAAGAGTAAATTAGGACAAGCTTCTTGTGGGGAAAATGTGTGTAAGGAATACTTTCATAACTGCTCATACTCACCTTCAACCCACCCCATTTGTTTACCTATTTGTCAGGCTAAATGTTAGAAGTTGTGTTCTGTGGACAAGCTCTTTAGGAATTAGCCTCCTCTGTTGAAAGGCATAGTTCAACTCTGCCTGTCACTGACCTATATGTATTTTGACATTGTGAGATGTAAGAGTTTTTTTGAAGTAATTCCCATTATGGGAACACAAAACAGGTGACATAGGGCAAAGTATCCCCTTTAAATAAATGGTTTTAGTGTTATATACTCTTACACATAATTATTCAAAGATTGTAATCTCTTGGGAGTTTTTACAAAGTCTTTAGCTGTTTTGAAACTACTTTGCTGATTTTCAGATGACTATCTTATGGAGTCCTGGTGTGGAGCTATATAGAATAACCACTGGACTACTAACTGGTTCAAACCCACCAACTGATCCTTGGGAACCCTAATGGGGTCACTCTTAGTCAAAACTGACTCGATGGCTCTTAACAAAAACAATCTTAGATGTTTATCAAGAGTTTAGAGTGAGTTTTCTGATGTTAATCAAATATTTTAGAACAAATCTCTTGACATAAATGACATAGAACTCAATGCTGAAGGATATAATTAAACTGAAAGAAACATTCCACCAATAATGTAATTCTTAATTTGGAAACAAGTAGAGTTACACACCTTCAGAAATTTGGCTCTACTATTGTAATTAAAATTCAATGTTTATTTAGGGTACACATTAATTCATGAATTTTCTATTTTGGTAGATTAGATGGTAATAGAGAACCATGGTTCTCTTTCACATCACCCGAGTCTCCCATGAATTTAAAAATAGTTAAGGCCCTGAAGGAGTCCTGGTGTGATGCTGTAGGTTAGTGCGCTGGACTACAAGGTCCGTTTGAACTGCAAGGTCAACCCTATACAGGGAAATCCTATACAAGGTTGCTATGAGTCAGAACCGACTACTTCAAGGTACTCAACAAGAACAAGGCCCAGAGAAGGGATCATTACCTCTAAAGAAAGAATTATTTATCTGATTCACTGCCATTATGATGGTTGCTATTTTTGGGGGGTACAAATCCCTTATAGTTAATCCTTCCACCAAATGATAGGGAAACACCATTTTTTACATCTTTTAATATTGTCTGTTCTGGTAAATGATCTGAAAGAATTTTTTTAAAGTATCTGACAAAATCTGTCTTCTTTCTGTGAAATTTCACTCCCAGTTTTTCATTAATGTGCATGTTCAACTGAGCTTGACTGAAGAGTAGCAGCTGATTATTTGTGAGGGGTTGAGGCTTATCCTTACGTGGATGATGGGAGGAAACCCTCTAGCTTATACTTTCAAGTTCCACATTCTAACATTAAGAATGACTCATATTCACAGTGGACTTAAAATGTTAGCTAATCATTGAAGACTTCACAAAATACCAAAATATTCAAACACTTTAAAATTCGGTATTCCCTCCATGTATTTGTTTTCCAGGAGAGCAGAAGTACCTCACCTTCAGCTTCAGAGCCGTTACATTCATGTTGCTGATGATTTCCCTGGTGTCTATTTTGCTCTGTGCTACCTTTAGCACATCCTCCAAAGCTTTCAGTTCTTCTACAAAACACTGAAGATGTTTCAATTCTGTGACCTAGAAACATAATAACAATAATTGCACCTCATTTTGCTCTGGACTAAAGACCAGAATAAAAATTAATCTTTAATATATTTTATTATGGAGTACTACTGGTGTAGCGCTGTGGGATAGAGCACTGGACCACAAGGTCGGTTTGAATCACAAGGTTGGTGGTTTAAACTCACCAGCCGCTCCTTGGAAACACAATACAGGGTTGCTATGAATCGGGACCAACTTGATGGCACTTGACAACAACAATACATTTTATCAAGTGCAGCTGTACATAGTTTTCACCACTCTCCCTATTTCAGCACTGTTGTAAAAATGGACCAATATTATTATTGTTACATTTTAAGTCCTGGGAAAACTAGGACTCAAATGACCATAAGTAGCATTGTCACGGTTGTTAAGTGCCGTTGAATTGCTTCTGACCCATAGCCACCCTGTATAGAGTTAGTTAACAGCTACTGGAGTCATTAATTTCAGCTTTATTTGGTTTTGAAAACATCAACATGTTTGCAAATCACAGGTATAGGCTGACTGCTTCTTCAGTTATATAAAGTCATTAGAACCAGAGCAGTCACAGTGTGAAAGTGTAGGAATCACATTTTATAGTTTTAGCATTTGATAATCTAAGGGTCGAGAATCACAGAATGTTGGGGACAGAGAAGCCCTTGTGACAACTGCTGTCTATCACAGTCCCAACATTTGAACTCATTGAACTGGAAGTCATAGTGTGACACGGTATGATAAGCACTGGAACACAAGGTCGGTTTGAACCATGAGGTCTGTGGTTCATTCAAATCCACCAGTCACTCCTCCAAAACTTTATACAGTGTCGCTATGAGCCTGAACCAACTGGACAGCACTTCACAAAAACAAACTGTATGTTAATGACTCAGGATAGCCTAAAGCAATTGGCATATATAACTGTGTCTTATAATTTCACTTTTCTACCATAACTATATTAAGATGCATTCATTGTCCAAACCAAATAAAAGGTTACAATATTTGAAGGTTTTGTTTTTGTTTTGTTTTTACCAAAGCCAAAACCCCATTGCCAACAAGGCGATTCTGACTCATAGCTACCCTGTATAGGGTTTCCGAGGAGCAACTGATGAACTTGAACCACCGACCTTGCAGTTCAAATCAACCT